AGAGAGAGAGAGAGAGAGAGAGAGAGAGAGAGAGAGAGAGAGAGAGAGAGAGAGAGATGATGATGCCGGGTCGGAGTGGCCGTCAGCAAAGGCTTCATCCAGAAACAGGAGCATTGGCACTCCGAAGCCTGCTGTATTTCGCTCTTGCGTCCTCCACGTTGCCAATCGGACACAGCTGGATTGCAAACGAGTAAGGTACAGAAGATACCAGGAACTCTTCATGCACACTTGGCGTCCAGCTATCATCACCACCAACTCCCATATGCTGATGGTCAAGACGGACCTACAATAGGAGATATACAAGCCCAATCACCCACCACAAAAGAGAGCCAACACGGCACCACACATTAATCCTACACGCCATACCATAAGCACGCAACGCCTTGTAACTACTTTAGCAAATTGATAGGACACAAGATAATAGGATTAAGATGTCACTGAAGGAGAAGAAGAGAGAACTCAAAACTATCCCCATGGTCTAGGCATAGTAGACGCGACCTGAGAAAACCAAGGAAGGGGAAATTATGTGGTAGGTCTTGGCATCATAGACCCGATCTCAAGCCCCCTGAGAAAAAAATTGAAAACCCAGTCCCAGTGATCGCTCCCTACACCGGTGCTCGTAGATAGATGCTAGATACATGTCAAATACCTGAGCGTGAAACAGTCCAGATATGGCTGTGCAAAAACGACTGGGTGTAACTGCTGGAGTATTACAATTTACAACCACTGGGTCTAATTGTGAGCGTGGGTGGCAATTCTCCTTCCAACAGCGATGGGAAAAGGAAAGGAGTGGCAGCATAAACCCCACTGCCTCTGGACGGATTTGGGGCCTCGTCAATTTCCAGCCCCTTGAATGCCATAACCGCACTTCTGGCCCCCACACAGATGTAGCATCAACCACACACCCAGGCAGTTACCTTGATAACTGCTGGTTACCAAAGACAACTGCAGTTACCACAGTTAACTCCACTTACCAAAGATAACCACAGTTAACTCCACTTACCAAAGATAACCACAGTTAACTCCACTTACCAAAGATAACCACAGT